GTGCATCACCGATGCATCGCCGATGTATCGGCGATGCGGCGAGATCCTTCGACCCCATTTGCTCGGACCCCATCTATAGGAGGCCTCTAGGAAGGCGGCGGGAGGGTGGCGGAAGCCTGCGGGAGCAGAGCGAGGCCGGCTCCGCAGGGCGGGAGGCCGGCGGGGACGCGGCGGAAGCGCGGCGGAAGGCGGCGGAAGAAGAAGATGTGCCCCCCGGGAGGCGGCAACGTTTTCGGGTTCAGTCGGAAATTGGAGCACATACACTGCCAGTGGCGGGCTTAAAAAAAAAAAAAAAAATCCCAGGAATTTTCGAGGGTCGGGGACGACGTCGGAGTGGTGTGGTGTACACTTTTCTCCCCGTGCTCCCGGAGAAACGACGAAGAATGCATACACCAGGGTCCCGTATACACCAGCTTTCGCTTTCCTGTGCAAATCTCCGTGCAGAGCCAGGAAAAGCGTCGGTGTATAGAGTTCGGTTCTTTATTCAGGGTTTCCGAAATCGCCCTATTGCTTACGCACTTGTTTTGTTGTCGTGACGGCGAGCGCGTGTTCGGCCCAGCGAGCGCAAGCTCAGCTGGTGGCAGGCATTCCGGTGGCTCGTGCGTTCGTTGGATCACTCCCTCGTTCGAGCGTTCGGTCGTTCGCTGTCTTGTGCGACTCGGTGGTTCGTCTGCTCGTTTTGCCGTTCGTTCGCTAGTTCGTTTCATCTTTCGCTTGTCCGTTGCCTTGTTCGTTCGCTCGGTACTTCGTTCGCTTGTTCGGTACTTCGGTTGCTCGTTTTCGTTCCTTCCTGCGAGCGCCGAGATGTTCGTTTCTTCGTCCAGTGCTGCGTTCGCTGCTGCTTCGCTCGATCGTTCATTCGGCCGTTCCCCCGTCGCTGCTAACGAGCCGCCCGCTCGGCCGGCATGCCCTTCTCTCCGCCCTCGTCTCGTCAGCCTCGCCCCTCCCCTCGCCCCCCCCCCCCTGGCCCGAGGCCGACCTGGCCTGCAGGGCTCCTGGCTCAGGTCCTTCGAGGCTTACCGCACGCTTCCGTTGATGAGCGCGTTTTCCACCACCACCACCATAAGTTGGATGGGGCGAAGGGGGAGGAGGAGGAGGAGGAGGAGGAGGAGGAGGAGGAGGAGGAGGAGGAGGAGGAGGAGGAGGAGGAGGAGGAGGAGGAGGAGGAGGAGGACCCCCCCCTCCAACTTATGGTGGTGGTGGTGGTGGTGGAAAACACGCTCATCATCCGTCTCCGCCCGCGCACGCGCGCACACCGCAGCCATGGCGGCCGCCCTGCGTCCGCTGGTGGTGGCCTCCCTGGCTGCCGGCGCCTCTGCCCTGTCCACGGCGGCCGGGGGCATCGCAGAGGGGGGGGGTGGACGACCAGGCGCCCAGACCCCCTCGCGCTGCGCAAGGAGTCGCGCCCCCCTCGCGCGGGGAGGAAGCACCAGCTGCGGCGGCAGGTGCTTCGCCGCCATGCTCGGCCTTCTCGGGGGCCCTCGCCGGGCCTCGGGGCCGTCAACGGCACGACTGGGGATGAGAAGCCCGCCTCGGAGAAGGGGTCGAGGTCTTCTGGGGGTCGACGTTCTGCGAAAAGAACGCGACGTCGGGTGTCTGGGGATGTGGACATCTTGGCCTGGGCTACGACATCTCGTATATCATGGCCCCCTCTTCTTCCCTGAGTGCACTCCCTGCCGCCCCCCCCGTCTGACCCAGACACCCGACGACATGGTTTGTCCCAACCACCGTGCGTGTCCGCAGCGCCCTGCGTCTCCTCCTTTCCTCATCCCTCCTCCCTCTCCTCCCTCGTCCGCTGCCTGTCCTGCCCTCCGCGCGCACACTTGGGCACACCCCTCACGCGTTTCGTGGCCCAGTGGTGGGCTCCACCAAAGGCCGGGGGGGGGGGGGGGCATACAGTGCAGACCGAGGCCAAGAAACATCCTGCTTGCCTCCAGGGTGCCCTGGGTTTCTTGGGTTTCGATGGTTTTGCTAATTATGGAAGGCGTGACGTTCCCGCACCAAAAATCGATGGACGTCCTTGGGTCTCAGGGTTGGGATTCTTGTGGAAGGTTTCTTGTGAACTGGCCTCCACTGTACGCGTGTCATGACCTCATAGGGTGCTCCACTAAGGCCCCCCAGGGGTTTGGGACATGCCGCCGCCCCGCCCGTTTCGGAATACCCTCACGCAAGTCTTTGCCCCGTAAGGAGCTCCGCCGAGGGCCCCAGCGGCAGGGTCCTGCTGCCGCCGCCCAGGCCATTTCGACACCTGCCTTACACGTTTCGTGGCCACACAGGGAGCGCCACCGAAGGCCCCAGTGGCAGGGTCCGCATGGCGTGCCCGCCCCAGTTCGGGACACCCGTCCCGCTTGTGCAGGCACGCCTGCGAAGCAACCGGGGGTGGGGAGGCCCTTCCGGCGCTATGGCAGGACACCATTTCTTCGGCCACAGCGAGGCGGGTCGCAGTCAGTAAGTGTTGCGGTCTCACGTGACAGTGGCTAAGTGCCCATTCGCGTTTCGTGGCCAGCACTTTGCTTGCTCGCTTGCTTGCCTGCTCCCGCTGCTCGTGGCCTCACTGGGAGCTCCACCGAAGGCGGCACTCACACATGCGCATTTGGTTGGGCCCCTTGCCAGGCTAACTTCGGTGCGCGGCCCCAGGGAGGTCCCGGCCCTTCCTGCCGCAGGCCAGTGTTTCGCCCCGGATCCATTCATGGATGGCCCTGGGGCTTGACAAAAGTCGGAGGTGGATAGACCTCCTACCCTGACACGTCGATTAAGGAATTGGCCGTTTTCGGTTCGCGAGAGGGCGTCGCGGCCGTCATTTTTGCGGGTCCAGGTCAGTCGGTTTCGGTCCCAGGCCGTTTTCACTAAGGGGAGGTCTACGAAAGGGAGGTTTGTCCACTGCCAAAAAAGACTTCAGGGGCCCACGCGGAGGAGACGCGCTGGGATTGAGCACATCGCATTGTCGCATATCCGGGGGCCACGATGCGCCACCCCCTCTTCTGGTGATATAGGCTTCGGATAGTGCGCACACAAGCCCTCCCCGAGGTAGTCCTGGGCGCTTCACGTCCCGACCTGGCGCCTCCCAGAGCGATGTCAGACAGTGAAGATGATGACTTATAAAGCTGCCAGAGCAGTAGATTGGTGGGGTAGCGCTTGGAAAGCGATGGCCTGGCGTACCTGATGGGTAGGGTCGGTAGGGTGCAAACCTGCGAGCCAGCGACGCAAGATGAAATAACAAGAAAGAGTGAAGTGCTAGATCTACAAGGCGCGGCAGCACCACACAGCGCAACCCGAACATAAGATCACGTCGTCGAAGGCGGAGGATGCGGTGCCAAGGTGTTGAGATCGCCCCAGCCTACTCGCGGGGCCTGTTGAGGCCACCTGGGACTACCTGGGGGGCTGTCTGTGCGTCACCCGAAGCCGTACCATTCCATGTCGTCCGACAGTGGACCACGATGCGCCCCAAACCCCCTCTCCCTGCCCCCCGACGTCATGACTTGTGTCGTAACAGTGACCCGTAGAGGTCTCGACCCATTCCCCAGGATGTTTTTTCCATCCCGAGTCGTGTTTTGTAAACCCTTGTTCTGGCGATGGCCCCAGAGGCAGAGAATGTTTAAACGCCGTGCGTCATGATTTTTCGCAATCATCCTGTGGTGTTGGACCCTCGTTTTGAATCAGCAGCGCCGGGCGTCCCTCCTCTCCTCTCCTGTCCTCCCCCCCTCCTCCACCTTCTCCCTCCTCCCCATCCCTTTCTCTGCCCTCCACATACATGTCTCTGCTTCCTCGCACCCCTCGCATGTGTCGTGGCTCCACAGGAGCACCAAAGAAGGCCGAAATGGCAGGCTCCGCATGCGTGACCACGCCCGTTCTGGCAGACCCCTCAAACGTTCTGTGGCCCCACAGGACTTCCACAGACGGCCCAAACGGCAGGCCTCGCATGCCCGACCACGCCCATCCCCATACTGGTGCACACCGCTCCACAGACGGCCGAAATTTCAGGCTCCGCATGCCAGACCAGGCCCATGCCAGGCAAAGGCCCTCTGACGCTTTGTGGCCTCACAGGAGCTCCACAGACGGCCCGAATGGCTGGCTTCGCATGCCCGACCACGCTCAGTCTGGCACACTCTGCCCACGATTCGTGGCCTCACAGGAGCTCCACGAAGGCCCACACGGCAGGCTTCCCATGCCTGGCCACGCCCGTTCTCGCACAGCTCTCCCGCGCTCCGTGGCCTCAGAGGAGCTCCACAGAAGGCTCAACTGGCAGGGCTCGCATGCGCCCATTCTGGCACACCTGTCACACGTTTCGTGGTGCGGCCACATGCGCCCCCTTGCCCATGTCGCGCGCCCCTGCCACGTTTTCCGGCCCCATGGGGAGCTCCACCCAGGGCCCCACTGGGTGCGTTTACGTGCGGGTCCCCGCCCATTTCGCTTGCCCATGCCACGTCTTCCATGCCCCATACGGAGCTCCACCTGAGGCCCCAGTGGGAGCGTCCACATGCGGCCCCGCCCATTTTGTTCGCCGCTGGTACGTTTTTCAGGCCCCGTTGGGAGCTTCAGTGGCGGTGACCGCCTGGCGGCCTCCCGCCTACCTTGCCCGCCCCTGCCACGTTTTGTTTAGCCACTATAGGGAGCTCTACCTGGCGGCCCTTGCCCATTCGGCGCACCCCTGTCGAGCATCGTGGCCCCGCAGGCATCTCCCCCTACTGCCCCAGCGGCAGGGTTCGCATGGTGCCCCCGCCCTCGCAGGAGGCCACTTCTGGCCCCAGTGAGTGCGTACGCATGCGTGCCCACGCCCGATTCGGCACGCCTCTCACGCGGATCGTGCTTCCCCCCCACACACAAGGAGCCCACCGCGCTTTTGCGCGCCTGCTCCGAATGCCCGCAACCGCACTGCCCCGCGGCGCGCAGCATATGTATGTATGTGTATATCTATATGTATGTATGTATGTATATATGTATGTATATGTATGTCTGTCTGTCTGTCTGTCTGTCTGTCTGTCTGTCTGTCTGTCTGTCTGTCTGTATGTATGTATGTATGTATGTATGTATGTATGTATGTATGTATGTATGTATACATATATATGTATATATATATATGTATATATATATATATATATACGGAGCGAGGGCGGCGCCCCGCGCTGCACGCGGCTGAACATGGTTGGGCCCTTCGCCAGGCCCATGCCACAGCGCCCGCCCCCTCTCCGTCGCTCCCTCCTCGCTCTCGGGCGCGCCCGAGGTGGTCGACAGGCTGTCGCAGGGCATGGGCGCGGGCCTCGGGGAGGGGGCCGCCGCCGCCGAGCAGCGGGCCGCCCTCCACGACGGCGCCAACCGCTCCGGGCACGTCGCGTGCCAGGGGCGCCCCAAAAGGGGGCGGCGAGCGTGTCCACGTCCTGCGTTCGACGATGTCTTTTTGTCAATCCGGGTGCTTTTTTCGCGTCGTCTGCACACCGCACAGCTCACACCACAAATTGCGCCGCACACCCCATAGCTTACACCTCACAGCTCGCACCACAGGTGCTCTCCTTTCGAAAGGAAGGTCGACTCCATCACCCTCCTCCCCAGGGTTATCGACAGCCCCTGGGACACTGCAATTTATTAGGAATCTGCCTCATCGTTCGTGTCCCCGATGAGCTCATACCATCCCAGGCGACTCCTCTCAAAAGGAAGGTCGACTCCACCACCCTCCTCCCCAGGGGTTATCGACAGCCCCTGGGACACTGCAATGTATTTTGATTCTGCCTCATTGTTCGTTTCCCCGATGAGTTCATGCCGTTCCAGGCAACCGCTCATCGCCCGCCCCCCTCAGCCCCTTCAAAGAATTCCTTGTGCGAGCCTTCGTTTATCTCAACATTTGGTTTCAATAATCCGTGCCACACAATGGCACGAAGTCCACGCGCGCGCACGCGTCGACGTCATACCAGACTCGCCAGTTTTGCATTCAGTTCAGCATTGCACATTTACATCTCAGAGTTTTTTTATCGCGCTTTACGCAGATGTTCGGCCCCCGCGCGCACTTTGCTGAGTTTGCAATTTCCCAGAAACCGCATTCTCATCTCACCACGCGGTGCCGCTGCGTTGATCCAGCCAGCGTCCAGTGCGCAAATCCGTATGAAGTTTTTGCTTTTGTTGAAGGTGCGGACCACGCGCGCTTGTCGACATTCTTCCGTCGCCATTTTTTTTGTTTCCAGACATTCCACGTGGCTCAAGGGACTCCGGTGGCCTCTCGGACGTGACAGCCTGCGATGGCCCGCGCCTGCTGGTTCTTCTTGTGCACGTGCGCGTTCATGGGGGCGATGCCCTTGTTGTCTGCAGTGTTTGGCACCGCGGTGGAACGACGGTTTCGAAACGTTCTCAACGAGAAAAGCGAAGGGTACTTTCCTCGAGCCAGTGAAGCAGCTACTCCTCTCGTTGAGTGCGGAGGTGCGTGACATCAACGCCAGTCTTGTCGACGTCCGTATGGGTCAGGGCATGCACGAGTGCACGTACCACTTCCTTGATGACGGCGAAAGGGACTGCCCCGACACAGCGCGGCAACACAATTGCGATCGCGCCGAAACCTTTCTACGTGAGTTGCGAGTGAGTCCTTGCAGCGGACATGGACCTACAAGAGACGAGATGACGCCAAAATCATTTCCATGTTGAGGTATTCGGGAAAATCTCTGCTCCCCTGGAAGATACCGACTTTTGAATCGAAGAGACCGGCTGCGCTGGAGGGGCTACGCTGTCAACATTCATGTGCTCGGGCTGTGCCTGGCCCATCCGGCCAGGCTGGCTTTGCCGGCGAAGGCGACTGTTTCTGCGCCAGGGCGGAGACTGGCCCAGCTGGCAAGGCGGACGACGAGGGCGGAGTGGGTCCTTCTTGCGGCGGGGCTGTCAACGATGCGGCATCCACTGGCGCTTGGATTCGAAGGAAAACGGCATAAACATATGCTTTTGGCGCTCCGCGCGGATTTTTTGGATTCGCGCTGGGGCTCCCCTGGCGGCGCCTCCGGCGCCGCCCCCGGTGCGCTCCGCGCGCGCTGGGTTTTCTTCCTCTATGTTTGCTTTCGGTGGGTTCATGGTTGCGCGTGTGAGGTAGCTCGCGCGTGGGAGACGCTACAGTGGCTGACGACCCCCGACGGAACACCCGCAGCGGGCGGCGAGGACGGGCAGGGAGAGAGTGTGGCTGCTGCGTGCCCGTTGTCGCAGGTGCAGTGCATCCTGAAACAGGCCAAGAGCCGGATGCGAGCCATGGGCCAACGTCTCGAGCCCCCGGCGCGCAGTCGGGTGTTCACGTTGATGCGCCAGTGGAGTCCGTCGGAGCGGGGGGGCAAGCCTTGCATCCCGAGGGCGGGAACCATGGTTGCAGACGATGGCGAGCAACGTCGACAGTCCGCTTCTCACCAGAGTTATCCAGCTTGCGCATGTTATTCCACTTCGGCCTTACGTGAAGGGCTCTCTCTTCTGAGCGCGCTCGAGCCGTGATTCTTCAGTTAAGTTTCATGCGGTGACATCCCGCTTCTGAAACATTTCAAGATGGGGCGTTCCAAACGAATGTGAACAGCATGCTTTTGAGTAGGTCTGCCGCGCGCGCACTACCTTATCGTCGCCCTCACCAGCGCCGCCGCATGACCACTGTAACCGTGGTCGTCGCTCGCAGCCAATGGCGACTTCATCAGTCACTCATCTTCACCTCCGGCACATGGATATCATCATCGCCATCTTCGTCACCAGCATCGGTTTCGTCATTGGCCTTGCCGTCGTCATCGTCACCATCCCCACCAGCATCGCTACGATCGTCATCGTTGCCGCCGTCTTCGGCGTCATCCCATGCCATCATGATACGACGCCCGCCCAGGCCACCGACCCGCGCTGAAGTCCCTGCACGCCAGCGCGGCCTTCAAGACGCGCTGGGAAGTTCCCACCGGTAAGCGCCATCGCCACCGCATCGATTGTGCCCAACCAGCTGGCCGTTGTGTGCGAGAGCTGACGCGCGGCAACTGCAGAGATGCGCCTGCCAGCGCCAAGTAGTCTTAAGTCGAGCCTTTCCCTCTACAAGAGGAATATTCAAAAATAGATCAACAAATCGTCGGGGGACGATTTGTTGAGTATTTGTTGGCCCTTTTGGAGTAGGTTCGTTTTTTGTGTAAAACAAATCAGTCCAAAATCCGCCTGCTGGGCGACATGCCCGACCTTAAGGTAGTCACCGCAATTGCGACCACATGGTTTGGGAAATCAATTTGCGGGTGAGAGCGTGGGATGATAGTCCGATCATTGGAGTTGACAACTACACACTACGTATATTGCACATCCTCAGTGCAACGTCCGATTTTTCGGGGTCCACGCTGGCAAACGCATGTTGTTTATCCTCGATGTTTGGCTTCCGGAACTCCATAGGAGGTGTTGGGAGCTTGTTTGGGCCGCGAACCGACAAGCTTTCGCCGTGGTCGCTGGCCCCCCCCGCGTCATGAATCACGGATGTCGTGGGTAATGTTTGTTGTTTTCGGCTTTTAGGGGCCCTTCCCGGTCCTCGTGCCCGTTAGCGAAGGCGACTCTGGATGAGAAGCCCGCCCCCAAAAAAGAGGTCCAGCCTTTTGGGGCTTGGGGGTGCACTTTGTTGACCCAGCCGCGGCGTCGGGGCTTTGCTTGGCATCGCTGGGACGTGTGCCCCCTTTTCTCGGCGAGGACCATCGAAGAGTAGATTGAATCACCCTGCGGAACAAAACGCGCGCGAAACCGAAACATGCACGGGAAATGGACTTCCGAGCGATGGCCAGCTGTGGCACGACTCCGACGCGCGGTCTTGTGGATGTGCGATGCCGTGGGTGCGTCCCGCGCACGTTCGCCCTGCTCGACGGCGGCGTGTGCGGGGGGGGGGGGGGGGGGGGGCCCTTCTGCTGCCAAGCCGGGGGGCCTCTGGGGAGGCATGGCCCCCCCTTCGGACAGGGGCCCCAAGGCCTGTGAAAAGCCCGCGTCGCGACGGGCAGCGCGTTTCGTTTGTTCGTTTCCGAGAAGCCGGGGGGGGTCGGAGGAGGCACGGGCCTTCTGTCAGAGGGGCCCTTGGGGCCTCGGAAAAGCCCGCATCGAGACGGGCAGCGCGTTTCGCTTGTTTGTTTCCGAGAAGGCGGGGGGGGGTTCTGAGGAGGCACGGGCCTTCTCTCAGAGGGGCCCCGGGGCCTCGGATAAGCCCGCGTCGAGACGGGGAGGGCCTCTAGCTAACGAGGCCCCTGCAGTCTACGAGGCCCTCCTGGCTTCTATAGCGGCCGCGCCCTCCAGCCGCGTCCCTCCCCAGGCACTCGGCGACGTGATTTTTCCACGCGCTGCCACGGAGGCCCCGAGCCCTTTCCTGGGGTAGCTCACCGTCTTTGGTCTACAATGGAGGCCCGTGCCAAGAAACACCCTGCTTGCCTCCAGGGTGCCCAGGTTTTTCCGGGTTTCGGTGGTTTGGCGATGGAAGGCGTGACGTTCCCACACCAGGAGTCAGTGGACGTCCTGGGGTATCAGGGTTGGGTTTCTTGTGCAAGGTTTCTTGTGGTCGGATTCGTTGATTGCCCCGGAGCACGACAGCGATTCCTGGAGGTTGAAATCGACGAATGGCGCTGGGATGACAACGTCGTCTCGTAGGAGATCTGGTTTGTGCGCGCCGCCAACTTGTATCCATCCAGGGCTCCCCGATTGGGCCAGAGTCCTCGGGGTCTGTCGATCGCGCCGAATCGCCGAGGCATTCGCGATGCGGGTCGAGGTGGAGCCCGATTGTCTCCGCGCCGACGGCGCCGATGTATCGCAATGTCGTCCACGCATCGGCGATGCACTGGCGATGTGGCGCCATCCTCCGACCCCATCTCCTCGGACCCCGTTTGGGAGGCATCCGATCAAGCTTGAGTCAGGCTGATGGCTCCCCAATCGGGCTTACTCCGGATTTGCCCCCCCCCAATCCTGGGCTGATTCCGGCTTGATCCGGGTGATTGGCCCCCCAATCGGGTTCAACAGCCTTCAGGAGAGGAAAAAGCACACAGACACAATTAATCCTCGATGCCCCAGAAAATATTGGAAAATATGGGAAGTGGGGGGGAAGACAGAAACCCAGAAAATATAGGAAAATATGGGGAATCTTTCTATTTGTGTGTATTTATTTGTTTGTCCCAGGGCCCCTTCAAGCTCGTGATCGTTCCCACGGACACCTCTCAGGAGTTGTCTCCTCGAAGGTTGTGCGCGCCGCCAGCTGTGCGACGCACAAGCGCGGGCTCGACTGCGCGGACATTCGGGCATGAGCTGCCCGCGTAAGATCGCGCGTCGGACCCCTCGTCTCCAACGCGGCGTGGCGCGAGCCACCGCGTGAGGTCGCTGCAGTCGGGCCGCTGAAGAAGGAACCCTTATCCTTACTTGGTCCTTACTTGGTGTCCTGCAGTTTGTGGTAGGTCCTTACTGGGCCCTTGTTGGGGAGGGGCTTAGTGTCCTTACTTGGTCCTGCAGTTTGTGGTAGGTTTTATTCAGGTTATCTGTGGGGCCTCGCTTCTCGTGTAAGCTTTCTGCAGCGTGTCGACTGTACAAAGGTCGCTGTGCTCTCTCCCGGCAGAACGGCCTCTCCTTGCCGCCCAGCTCCGTATCCACGGGGCCGCGGCCGAGGAGTCCGGGCCGCGAGGTCTTGGGGTAAAGTCGGGCGCGCCCCTCCTCAGGAGGCATCTCCAGAGTAGTCCAGAAAACCAGCAGGGGGGCCATCTGTTTTTCCCCAATCGGAGCTTGCCTCTGTAGGGGTCCTAGCGGATTCATATGGTTAGGTTAGGCTCGTCGCCGATTTTCGCGGCACGCCCTGGTGCCCGGGTGCCCGGGGGTGCCCGGGTGCCCGCGGGTGCCCGGGCGTGCTTGGGGGTGCCCTGGTGCCCGGGTGCCCTGGTGCCAGGGTGCCCGGGCGTGCCCGGGGGTGCCTGGGGGTGCCCGGGGGTGCCTGGGGGTGCCCGGGGGTGCCCTATAGCCCTATAGCCCTATAGCCCAATAGCCCTATAGCCCTATATCTCTACAACTCTATAGCCCTATAGCTCTATAGCCCTATGGCTCATTAGCCCTATAGAGCCCTGATTCGGGCTTTTCTCCGGTATCATTCCTAATTGTTGCTGATTGCTGGCATCTTTTCCCTTGCTCCTTCGAAGGCCGCCTGCAGGAGGACGTGCCCGACCGTGCCGCAGTGGGCGTGGGCGTGCCCCCCCCTCCCCCGCGCGCGAGGCACCGGGCGGGCGCCCACCGGGCCGGCGCGCGCCAGACGCCCGAGGAGCTCGGCGTCTACGAGGGGGTCTCCGAGGCTCGGCGCCGCCCAGGCGTGCCAGGAGCTCGGTTGCCTCGATGCGCCCGTTTTGATTCGCAGCACGTCCCGTGTTCCAGACGTCCGTGTCAGTGCGCTGCGTGCTGCTCCGCGTGTTGGGACCGCGTTTCGGCGGGCGTCTCGCGTCGGGCCCACGTCTTCAGCCTACGTGTGGAGCTCCGTATCAGTACGCCGCGTGTTGCGTGTGGCGCATCGGGGCAGCTACGACCATGCGATGCTCGTGTCGGGGGCCCTCCTGTGCCCCACCTGACAAATCTGTCTGACCCTGGCTTGACTCCAGTTCTTCTCGGGTTCGACTCGGGTTCGACTCAGGTTCGACCCAAGCTCGACTCCAGTCGACGGACGTTCGACGCAGTTTCGACGCACGAGTGGAGCAAGTTGCTCTGGGAAGGTCCCCAGAATGAGCACCTAAGTACCATATATGCTCTCCCAGAGATTCTGGTGTGGCAGGATTTCCGCAGCCGCTGCCCTTGCCTCGGTTTCGCCTGTTTGGGTCTCTTTGGAGGCCCTCGTCGCCACCGCTGGATCCGCTTCGACATGCTGGTCAGAGCGCATCCAGGTAGAGGTCTGGGGAGTAGCGGTACCAGTGTCTTTTGGTTTCCGCTTAGATCCCCTGGCAGTCCATTTTTGCGCAACGGGCGATTTTGCCTATGTTTGGGCCCAAGGACCATCACAGATCGATCTGGCTCGAACAATGCAGCCAAAAGATGGGGTCCGGGGCTCGGGTCCAGTTGCTTGACGATGCTGTATTTTCTCGGCCGGGCTCGGCATCAATCAGACATGTTCCTGTCTTTGCGGGGGCGCTCTGCCATGGGCCTCGCTTTCGAGGGATTGAGAGAAGTTGGCATCTCGGCAGCAAGCGGGGAAGGCCGGCGGGCGCGGGCAGAAGCAAAAAACAGGGGCGCCTTCCGCCGGCGGAGGCCGCGGGGAGGCCGGCGACAGCTCGCGGGAGTCCACCGGGCACCACCGGGAGGCTGCACGTCTGTCTGGTCCAGGATTTGTTTTCCGTCGGCCTGTCCCTCTACAGGGGGGGGGGGACTCTTCAAAAACAGTCAAACAGCAGTCCGGGGGCTATCTTTTGAGCATTTGTTGACCACTGTGGAGCATTGTGTGAGCGTCCTGCAATCTTCCTCGAACATCCCCCCCCTGTATGGGGGACGCGCCCGACTTACGATTTGGTCTTGGAGCCCGCAGCGTGTGCATCGGCCTCGCAGGGGCGAGGCGCGCGCTCCCCGAGGTATTGCAAGAGAGCTCTGCCGCGGGTGCGCTCTGGACTCGAGTCGGGCCTGTCCCTCCACGGTCACAGTACGTCGTGTTCGGTACCGCCTGATCCCGAGGCTTTGCCTCCTCCTGGCCTCGGCGTGAGGCTGCGCTCCTTCTGTCCCCCCCTCTTTGCTAATTCGAGCTTCGCGCGGCCCGCTTAGCTTCGACCGGAAGAGGTGCGCTCTCGACCCGCGAATCAAAACTGTCCCTCCACAGTCGGGGGCGGACAGAACCCCCAACAGTGACACGTCGATTAGTGAATTGTCCGTTTTCGGTTCTCGAGAGGGCGCCGCGGTCGTCATTTTCCAGGCTGGCGCCCGCCAGGTTTGGGCCCGAGGTCGTTTTCACGAAACCACGTTTTGCTAAAGGGGGGTCTGTCCATCTCCGATATCAAGGCGGGCCTGTCGATATTAAGTCGGGCCTGTCGCTCTGCAGGAGGAATGTTTAAAACTGATGGGAAAACAGTCAGGGGACGATTTTTAGAGTATTTTTGCCCATGGGGGGGTATAGTTTGAGTATGTTCAATTCTTCGCCCAAAATCCCCCTGTAGGGGGATACCCCCGACTTAACTCTAGACAGACAGTCGGCCCTGATTAGTAGATCGACCCTGCCAAATCAAGGGTACCCTTGTGTACTGTGTCTCGCGACCCATGCCTTTTACGCTATCATGGCAATGTGGCTCTCGGAAGGGTCTTGTGCCCTTCTGTGTGCCCTGTTTGATCAGGTCCGACTGCACGGAATCGTGATTTGTACCCCATGTGTAGGTCGGACGTGCCTCTGCAACAGAAACACGTAATTCAAGTACGGCCGGTTTTTGCGGCGTTGGCGCGCTGGCGACGCCAGCGAAGGCGTTCCAGGTTGAATTATGCGACGCTGACTTGCCGAGGGACACCGTAACGCCGTTGGACCCGACGGAATTCGACCTTGAAAGGTGGGGGCCGCAATCGATTCAAGGTTGAATGATGGGCGCGGTGTCGAACATCTTTGCGCGAGGCGACGCCGCGCGAGTCTGCCGTATGTGCTCGGGATGAGTTCGTGTGCGGGATGCGGGTGTGCACGATGTCCCGCGAGAGCGCCCGAAACAATATACAGTCGGGGCGCTGAACAAGGAACCCTTTTCGTTGGGGAGGGGCTCCGTGTTCCTTAATTGTTTCGCAGCTTGCCTTAGGTTGTCCTTAGGTTTTCGATGGGGAATCGAAGTTTAACTTATGGAAAAAAGGGGCCTCGTTCCTTATTTAGGGTTCCTTAGGTCAACGCCCCGACTGTACACCCCACCACCACGGACCATCCTCTGCCTCCATGCTCCAGGTGATGGTGGTGGTGCGTTGCGTTCTCCCCAAATGTTCGGGTCGGACGTGCGTCTCCCACAGGACACAGAATGCTAGCACATCCTCCTTAGGCCCAGGGGCGAGCCTCCTCGCGTCGTGACGCACAGCATCGCACCGCGGGTGGCTCTTGGCCAGCCCTATTGCAGCCCCTGCCGGTTTTCAGGCTTTCTTCGAGGCGGTCTCGCTTCGGGACGCGCTCCAGCAGCTGCGCCTCGTCTCACCGCGCGTGGCTCTTGGCCCGTTTTTTGCGCCTGGGCTGGGTGCCTCCGGACGCTCTTGGAGGCGCTCTCGCCCCGGGGTGCGTTCGTCGAGCAGCGGCGCCTCGGCGAGGGCGCTCTGGGTGTGCCCGGGGTCGTCCCGAGCGGCCGAGCGAGGGCCCGAGCGATGGCCCAGGGCCCACGGGCCCTGCCGTTGTGGAGTAGCAGTGTCGGGGATGGACAGACCCCCCTTTAGTAAAACGTGGTTTAGTGAAAACGACTTGAGGCCCAAACCTGGCGGGCGCAAGCCTGGAAAATAACGGCCACGGCGCCCTCTCGAGAACCGAAAACGGACAATTCACTAATCGACGTGTCACTGTTGGGGGTTCTGTCCACCCCCGACAGTGGTGGGAGGTGCTGGGCCGTGTGCGGCTTCCGGGAGGCCTGGCCGGGCGCGGGAGCGTCTCAGAGCGATTCGGGGTAGAATCTCCCGGCCCCGCAGGAGGGGCCCAGGCCCGGGGGGGGGCCACGCTGTGAGAGAGTCACGGCGGTGGGCTTCTAAAAAGAAGGTGGAGGACTTCGCGAAGGGCGTCTTCTCTGAGTCGTACTGCCTGGACCTCGGGGCGAAGGGCTTCCCGATCCCCGTGTTCAAGATGATGCAGCTGGCCAAGTGGAACGTAGGCACGTACCTTGACAAGCTCGAAGAGCTCGGGTTCGCAGACGACGCCCTGCAGATGAACGGCCCCCAGGAGTGGAAGAACCATAAACCGCACAAACGCAAATGTACGGGCGCGAATTTGTCGGCGATGCGGCCCCCTTCCTGGCGCGCGGGGCGCGCCACGGGCGGCGCCGAATGCGCCGCCAGAGAGCCCAGCGCAGATCCAAGAAATCCGCATGGGCCTCCGAACATGTGCACGCTGGTCGTTGAAAGCAGGTAGTTTTGGAATTCCGGATTTCAATCTACTTTAAGCGCCTTCCTACTTGAATTATAGTGGTTTCCTTCTTCCCTCTTCAGGGGGCGGGCGGAGACCCAATCAACTTCGGACGCCTTCCTACTTCAAGGTTATACCTATACTTCATGCTTATTATGCCCATGCTTGTTCCCCACCTGTGATGTTGGGTCTTCGTGTTGAAGAGACGGTGCCCCGCGTCCTCCTCGTTCTCCTCCTCCTTCCCTCCTCCTCCTCCTTCCCTCCTCCTCCTCCTCCTCCTCCTCCTCCTCCTCCTCCTCCTCCTCCTCCTCCTCCTCCTCCTCCTCCTCCTCCCCCTCCTCACTCCTCCCGTCACCCCCTCACTTTGGCACAACCCTCCCACGTTTCGTGGCCCCATAGAGAGCTCCACCGAAGGCTCCAGTGGCTGCGTTCGCATGCCGCCACCCCCCTCACTTTGGCACACCCCTCAAACGTTTCGTGGCCCCCTAGGGGGCTCCACCGAAGGCGCCATATGCCCCCTTCACTTTGGTACACCCCTCACGCGCTTCGTGGCCCCATAGGGAGCTACACCGAAGGCCCTGGTGACATGGTTCGCATGCGCTTCCCCGACCCAGTACAACTTTTCGTGGCCCCATAGGGGGCTCCACCAACGCTCCAGTGGCGGTGTCCGCATGCGTTCCCCCCACCCATCACAACGCCTCGTAGCCCTATAGGGAGCTCCACCGAAGGCCCAGTGGCGGTGTCCGCATGCCCCCCCCCCACCCAGCACAGCGTTCCGTGGCGCCATAAGGCGCTCCACCAAAGGCCACAGTGGCGGTGTTTGCATGCGCTTCCCCCGCTCAGTATATCGTTTCGTGGCCCGATAGGGAGGTCCACCGAAGGCCCAGTGCCGGTGTCCGCATACGTTTCCCCCACCCAGTGCAGCGTTTGGTGGCGCCATAAGGAGCTGCACCAAAGGCCACAGTGGCGGTGTCTGCGTGCGTTTCCCCCCCCGGTACAGCGTTTGGTGGCGCCATAGGGAGCGCCACCGAAGGCCCAGGTGGCGGTGTTCGCGTGCCGCTCCTCCACCCAGCACAGCGCTTTGTGGCCCCATAGGGGGTTCCACCGAAGGCCTCAGTGACGGTGGTCGCATGCGTCTCCCCCATCCAGCACAGCGCTTCGTGGCCCTATCGGGAGGTCCACCGAAGGCCCCAATGGCGGTGTCCGCATGCGTCTCCCCCACCCAGCACAGCGCTTCGCGGCCCTATAGGGAGGTACACCGAAGGCCCCAATGGCGGTGTCCGCATGCGTTTCTCCCACCCAGCACAGCGCTCCGTGGCCCCATATGGAGTGCCACCGAAGGCCCCAACGGCTGCGCCCGCATGCGTCCCCGCCCCATACCGTTTACACGCTTTGTGGCCCCATAAAGACATCCACCGACGGCGATGCCAACAACGGCGATTCTCACAACTGCAGATGGTTGGGCCCTTCGCCAGAATGATTTTCTAAGGAGGCCATGCTCAAGTCGAACTGCATGCAGGAGGCCCGCCAGAGCCGCACGAAACACATCTTCGTTGGCGACTCCCAGATGATGGCGCTCCGCAACGCGCTCCACCGCCTCAACGGCTGCCCTGAAATCTGGTGGCACAACTCCTCCCGGGACCAGCAGGAGCTGCTTGCGTCGATCAGGGCAGGCAGGCGCGTGAAAACCGGCAATGGCCGCTTCCACTCGCACACCGACCAGACTCCCGACGGCGCCTTGCCCAGCGGATGCAATGAGGGGGGCATTGGGTCTTTCATCTTCTGGGATGCTTGGCTTGACTCGGAGATCCCTGTTCGAGAGATTCAGAGGGAGATGAAGGTTCTCGGAGTCGAGCCGAAGGAGGGTGACTCTGTTGTGGTGTGGATTGGCTCGAATTTTATCGCAGGGTCTAGCAGAAAGAACGTCCTGCTCAAAGCAATCGACACACTCCACTCCTTGGGAGTAAAGATGGTGTGGGACTCACCAACCTACATTGATGATGCCATGATGGCCGCGACGACGGCCAAGGACTTGGGCACCGACCTGCATACGGGCATCCCCATCACATACACCGAAATCGCTCAGAGAAAGGTTCGCGGCGAGATCGGCTCCAATCAGTATCGAAGACGCCTACGGCGAATCACCGCTGCCCCCCCCGCCGTCTAGAATCGCCCATGTGGCCGAGCGTTGTGGCAAACGCTCTGCCAAGGTATCGGGCCATGTGTTCCCCCAACCGTTGTGGAGACCTTCGGGGAACACTTGGGGGAGGATGGCGGGGAAGAAAGAAGAGGCGGAGGAGGAGGAGGTGGAGGAGGAGGAGGAGGAGGAGGTGGTGGAGGAGGAGGAGGAGGAGGAGGAGGAAGAGGAGGGGGCATCTTGGGAGCCTCTGGGGACACTGTTGGGGCCTCCTAGGAGCTTCCTTGGAGCCTCTTGGACCTTTGGGGGCTTCTCGGTGGCCTCTTTGGCCGTCTTGGTGGGCTCCTGGCCCGTCTGACGCCGTCGGAAGCCGTCTTGGGGGCCTCTGTGGGCCATCGTGTGGCCCTCTTGGGGTGCTCCAGGGCCGTCTTGGAGGCCATCTTGGGCGTCCTGGCGGCCTCTTGGGCCGTCTTTGTGCCCTCTTGGGGCCGTCTTGGGGGCCTCTTGGGCCTTTCTGGGGCCAATCTGGAGACTTCTTGGGCGATCTTTGGGCGCTCTTGGGCCGTCTCGGGCCGTGGGAAGGCCGAAAACAACGAATGCCGCAATCCTTCAAACATTCGTGGGAAATCAATAATTTTGGCCTTTTCGGGCCTTCTGGAGGCCCTCTTGGAGGCCTCTTGGGCTGTCTTGGGCCATCTTAGGGCCGTCTTCGGCCGTCTTGGTGGGCTCCTAGCCCGTCTGACGCCGTCGGAAGCCGTCTTGGGGGCCTCTTGGGCCTTTCTGGGGCCAATCTGGAGACTTCTTGGGCGATCTTTGGGCGCTCTTGGGCCGTCTCGGGCCGTGGGAAGGCCGAAAACAACGAATGCCGCAATCCTTCAAACATTCGTGGGAAATCAATAATTTTGGCCTTTTCGGGCCTTCTGGAGGCCCTCTTGGAGGCCTCTTGGGCTGTCTTGGGCCATCTTAGGGCCGTCTTCGGCCGTCTTGGTGGGCTCCTAGCCCGTCTGACGCCGTCGGAAGCCGTCTTGGGGGCCTCTCTGGGTCGACTTGGGGCCCTCTTGGAATGCTCCAGGGCCGTCTTGGAGGCCATCTTGGGCGTCTTAGAGGCCTCCTGGGCCGTCTGGGGGACTCCTTCGGGCCGTCTTGGGGGCCTCTTGGGCCGTTCTGTGGCCATCTTGGAGGCCTCTTGGGCGATCTCGGGGCGATCTTTGGGGGCTCTTGGGCCGTCTCGGGCCGTCGGAAGGCCGAAAAGAAGCAATGCTTGGCCTGTTCTGGCCGTCCTGGAGGCCCTCTTGGAGGCCTCTTGGGCTGTCTTGGGCCAGCTTAGAGCCAACTTCGGCCATCTTGGTGGGCTCCTGGCCCGTCTGACGCCGTCGCAAGCCGTCTTGGGGGGCCTCTTTGGGCCGACTTGGGGCCCTCTTGGGGTGCTCAAGGTCGGTCTTAGAGGCCCTCTTGGGCGTCTTGGAGGCCTCTTGGGTCGTCTTTGTGCCCTCTTGGGGGCCTCTTGGGCAGTCGTGAGGCTATCTTGGAGGTCTCTTGGGCGCTCTGGGGGTGATCTTGGGGGCCTCTTGGGCCGTCTTGGGTCGTCGGAAGGCCGACAAAGAGCAAGCACGATAATCTCTCGAAAACCAAAGGAAAATCAATGCTTTTAGCCTCTTCGGGCCCTCTTGGAGGACCTCTCGGAGGCCTCTTGGGCCGTCTTGGAGGCCTCTTGGGCACTGGGCCGTCTTGGGCCGTCTTGGAGGTTTCTTGGGCGGACTTGGAGGCATCTTGGACTCTCTTGGGCCGTCTTGGAGGCCATCTTGGACCATCTTGGGCGAACTTGAAGGCCAACGTGGCCATCTTGGAAGCCATTGGGGCCATCTGGGAGCCATCTGGAGCAGGACAACCTTTTGGAACCACCCTTTCCTGGACCATTCCGGGACCCCGGCGGGCTGGGCCGAAACCCCAGGGGGAGTTTTTTGGAAAAAGAACCAAAACCAATAGCGAAAGGATTTAGCACGCCAGGCACCCCTGTGATGAATCAACAGGGGGCGGCGGATCGAAGGCGCCTACAGCGAATCACCGCCGCCCCATGCCTTCTAGAATCGCCCATGTGGCCGAGCGTTCTGGCAAGAGCTCTTCCAAGCTACCGGACCATGTGTTCCCCCAACCGTTGTGGAGACCCTTCGGGGAACACTTGGGGGAGGATGGCGGGGAAGATCAAGAAGAGGCGGAGGAGGAGGAGGTGGAGGAGGAGGAGGAGAAGGAGGAGGAGGAGGAGGAGGAGGAGGAGGAGGAAGAGGAGGGGGCATATTGGGAGCCTCTTTGGGGTGCTCCAGGGCCGTCTCCGTGGGCGTCTTAGAGGCCTCTTGGGCCGTCTTTGGGCCCTCTTGGGGCCGTCTTGGGGGCCTCTTGGGCAGTCCTGAGGCCATCTTGGAGGCCTCTTGGGCGCTCTGGGGGCGATCTCGGGGGCCTCTTGGGCCGTCTCGGGTCGTCGGAAGGCCGACAAGAGCAAATACGATAATCGCTCAAACACCTAAGGGGAATCAATGTTTTAGCATCTTCAGGCCCTCTTGGAGGACCTGTCCGAGGCCCTTTGGGACCCTCCTTCACCGTCTTGGAGGCCATCTTGGCTATATCTTGGAGGCATCTTGGACCCTCTCAGGCCGTTTTGGAGGCCATCTTGGCCGTCTTGGAGGCATCTTGGAGGCCAGGTTCGGCCATCTTGGAGCCGTCTAGAGGCGAAAAACCATGTGCAGCCACCTTCTGGGCACTTTTCCGGGTGGCCGGCGAGACGGGCCGAAGCCCCAGGGGGAGCTCTAGAAGAACTACGACCGGAAGGGTTTAGCACGCCGGGCACCCCCGTGGCAAGCCAGCAGGGTCGGCGGATCACAGACGCCTACGGTTAAGTCGGGCCTGTCCCTCTACAGGGCGAATTTTCAAAAGCAGTAAAACATAGTCAGGGGATTTTTGTTTTACCATATTGAAGTATTTGTTTAGTTTTGTTTCCATTTTTCGTCGAAGATCTCCCTGTAGGGGGACACGCCCGACTTAAGCCTACGGCGAATCACCGTCGCTCCCTGCCCCTTTGGAAGCGCCTCTGTGGCCGACAGCTGGGCCAGAGCTCGGCCAAGCTATCGGGCCAGTTGTTCCCCGAGTCGGCTTGGGAACGCATGGGGGAGCAAGAGAGGAGGAGGAGGAGGGGGAGGATGAGGAAAGAATAGGAGGAGGAGGAGGAAGGATGAGGAGGAGGAGGAGGAGGAGGAGGAGGAGAGGAGGAGGAGGAGGAGGAGGAGGAGGAGGCCTCTTGGGCGCTTCTTGGGGCACTCTTGGGGCCTCCTGGGAGCTTCCTGGGGGCCTCTTGCAGGGTTTTTGGGGGCCTTTGGGGGCTTCTTGGGGGCATCTTTGGCCGTCTTAGGGCGTTCCTGGCTTGTCTGACGCCGTCGGAAGCCGTCTTGGGGGCCTGTCTAGGTCGTCTTGGGGCCCTCTCGGGGCATATCAGGGGTTCTGGAGGCCATCTTGGGCGTCTCAGAGGCCTCTGGGGCAGTTTTGGGGCCCTGTTGGCCATCTTGGGGCCGTCTTGGGGGCCTGTTGGGCCGTCATGGGGCCATCTTGGAGCCGTCTTGGACTCTTGGACCGTCTTGGAGGCCGTCTTGGATCATCTTGGGCGAACTTGGAGGCCATCTTGGAGGCCATCTTGGGCCAACGAGGCTATCTTGGAGGCCATCTTGGGCCATCTTGAGTGAAACATTTGGGAATTGTGCTTCTTTCCGGGTGGCCGGCGGGACGCGCCGGAGCCCCAGGGGGAGTTCTTTTGGAAAAAGAACCAGAACCAAAACCGAGAGGATTCAGCACGCCAGGCACCCTTGCGATGAATCGACGGGGCGGCGGATCGAAGACGCCTACTGCGAATCACCGCCGCCCCCTGCCTTTGTGGAAGCGCCTGTGTGGCCGAACGTTGAGGCCAGACCTGCCAAGCCATCGGACCATGTGTTCCCCGAATCGGTTTGGAAAGCCTTCGGGGAACACGTGGGCATCTTGAAGGTCATCTTGGCCGTCTTGGAGGCCTCTTGGGCGATCTTTCGGCGATCTCTGGGGGCTCTTGGGCCGTCTCGGGCCGTCGGAAGGCCGAAAAGAAGGAAATGTCAAAATCCGTCAAAAACCTAAGGAAATCAATGTTTTTGGCCTCTTCTGGCCTTCCTGGAGGCCCTCTTGGGGGCCTCTTGGGCCCTTTTGGGCCAGCTTCGAGCCAACTTCGGCCATCTTGGTGGGTTCCTGGCACGTCTGACGCCGTCGGGAGCCGTCTTGGGGGCCTTTCTGGGCCAACGGGGGACCCTCTTGGGGCGCTTCGGGGCCGTCTTGGAGGCCATCTTGGGCGTCTTGGAGGCCATCTTGGGCGTGTTGGAGGCCTCTTGGGCCGTCTTGGAGGCCACTTGGGCCGTCATGGGGCTCTCTTGGGGGCCTCTTGGGCGATCTTTGGGGCCTCTTGGGCCGTCTGGAGCCGTCGGAATGCCGAGAAGAAGCAAATTCCAAAATCCTTCAAAAACTAACGGAAAATCAATGATTTTGGCCCCTTCGGGCCCTCCTGGAGGACCTCTTGGAGGCCTCTTGGGCCGTCTGGGAGGCCTCTTGGCCCGTCTGGGGCCCTCTTGGACTCTCTTGGGCCGTCCTGGAAGCCGCCTTGGACCATCTTGGGCGGACTTGGAGGTCATCTTGGACCATCTTGGAGGCCATCTTGGGCCATCTGGGCCATCTTGGAGGCCATCTTGGAGCCGTCTTGGGCAGAAAATTGGGGAAGTGAGGTCCGTGGAAAAAATCCCGGGACCCCGGCGGGACGGGCCGAAACCCACTGGGAGAGTTCTTTTGGAAAAAGAACCAGAACCAAAACCGAGAGGATTCAGCACGCCGGGCACCCTTTGCTGAAGCAACAGGGGGCGGCGGATCGAAGACGCCTACGGCGAATCACCGCCGCCCCCTGCCTTTTTGGAAGCGCCTATGTGGCCGAACGTTGAGGCCAGACCTGCCAAGCTATCGGACCACGTGTTCCCCGAATCGGTTTGGAAAGCCTTCGGGGAACACGTGGGCATCTTGAAGGTCATCTTGGCCGTCTTGGAGGCCTCTTGGGCAAGCTTTGGGCGATCTTTGGGGCTTTTTGGGCCGTCTCGGGCCAGCTTCGAGCCAACTTCGGCCATCTTGGTGGGTTCCTGGCACGTCTGAAGCCGTCGGAAGCCGTTTGGGGGGCCTCTATGGGCCGACTTGGGGCCCGCTTGGAATGCTCCAGGGCCGTCTTGGAGGCCATCTTGGGCGTCTGGGAGGCCATCTTGGGCGTGTTGGAGGCCTCTTGGGCCCTCTTGGGGCCCTCTAGGGGCCATCTTGGAGGCCACTTGGGCCATCATGGGGCTCTCTTGGGGGCCTCTTGGGCGATCTTGGGGGCTTCTTGGGCCGTCTTGAGCCGTCGGAGAGCCGAAAAGGCGCAAATGCCAAAATCCTTCAAAAACCAAGGGAAAATCAATGATTTTGGCCTCTTCGGACTCTCCTGGAGGACCTCTTGGAGGCCTCTTGGGCCGTCTGGGAGGCCTCTGGGGGGCCTCTTGGGCCGTCTTGGGCCGTCTTGGACTCTCTTGGGCCGTTTTGGAGGCCGTCTTGGACCATCTCGGGCGGACTTGGAGGCCATCTTGGGCCATCTTCGCGATTTTTTGAGGATGTCCCGAGCGAAACGGCCGTTTTTGGGCATTGACAGACGGATTTTGGGAAATTTGCGGGTGGCCGGCGGGACGGGCCGAAGCCCACTGGGGAGTTCTTTTAGAAAAAGAACCAAAACCAAAACCTGAATCGTCCAGCACGCCGTGCACCCCTGCAAGCAGGGGGCGGCGGATCGAAGACGCCTACGGCGAATCACCGCCGCCCCCTGCCTTTTTGGAAGCGCCTATGTGGCCGAACGTTGAGGCCAGACCTGCCAAGCTATCGGACCACGTGTTCCCCGAATCGGTTTGGAAAGCCTTCGGGGAACACGTGGGCATCTTGAAGGTCATCTTGGCCGTCTTGGAGGCCTCTTGGGCAAGCTTTGGGCGATCTTTGGGGCTTTTTGGGCCGTCTCGGGCCAGCTTCGAGCCAACTTCGGCCATCTTGGTGGGTTCCTGGCACGTCTGAAGCCGTCGGAAGCCGTTTGGGGGGCCTCTATGGGCCGACTTGGGGCCCGCTTGGAATGCTCCAGGGCCGTCTTGGAGGCCATCTTGGGCGTCTGGGAGGCCATCTTGGGCGTGTTGGAGGCCTCTTGGGCCCTCTTGGGGCCCTCTAGGGGCCATCTTGGAGGCCACTTGGGCCATCATGGGGCTCTCTTGGGGGCCTCTTGGGCGATCTTGGGGGCTTCTTGGGCCGTCTTGAGCCGTCGGAGAGCCGAAAAGGCGCAAATGCCAAAATCCTTCAAAAACCAAGGGAAAATCAATGATTTTGGCCTCTTCGGACTCTCCTGGAGGACCTCTTGGAGGCCTCTTGGGCCGTCTGGGAGGCCTCTGGGGGGCCTCTTGGGCCGTCTTGGGCCGTCTTGGACTCTCTTGGGCCGTTTTGGAGGCCGTCTTGGACCATCTCGGGCGGACTTGGAGGCCATCTTGGGCCATCTTCGCGATTTGTTGAGGATGTCCCGAGCGAAACGGCCGTTTTTGGGCATTGAAGGATGGGTTTTCCGAAATTTGCGGGTGGCCGGCGGGACGGGCCGAAGCCCACTGGGGAGTTCTTTTAGAAAAAGAACCAAAACCAAAACCTGAATCATCCAGCACGCCGTGTACCCCTGCAAGCAGGGGGCGGCGGATCTAACGGCCTTCGGCCTATCCCGCCACCGTGCCTGGGTTGCGGGTCAGAGTCCTCAGGGATGTTTCTTGGGTTTTTTTCGGGGCGCTCTCAGGGGCATCTTGTGGGCAGTTTTGGAGCTTCTTGGGAGCCTATTGGGGGTCTCCTGGGAGCCTCTCGGGGGCCTCGTAGGGCTTCCTGGGCTTCTTGGGCCGTCCTGGAACGATCCTGGGGGTCTCTTGGGCCGTCCTGGAGCGTCGGGAAGCCGAACAGGCGAGAACGCCAACATCTTTCAAGCACCTACGGGAAATCCATTATTTTTGCCACTTGGGAGGCCTCTTTGAGGCCTCTTGGGTCGTCTTGGAGGTATCTTCGGCCGTCTGGCTGCTATCTTGGGCGCCTTGGACCGATAGTTCGACGACTCGGGACCCTCTTCGGCTGTCTTTGGGGCCCCTTAAAGTCCTCTTGGCCCGTCTTGGGGCCCTCTTTGCGCCCCCAAAGCTAAGGCTCAGGACCGCCTGGGGAACTGGGGGTCCGGGCCTTAAAAACACTTAAAAAACACAAGCCCTCAACCTCGCAGAGCTGCATGAGCCTTGGGGCAATCCACTACGTGCCGAAGGCGCGGTGGCGGATAAGAGCGAGAAGGCCTTCTTGGAGGGAGTGGGCGATATCCCGGTGACGAAGCGCTGGCAGTTGACGAACCGGTACAGGGGGCTGCAGTGCGATGGCATCCACAGCGACATGCGCGCGAGGGACCCGCTGTACTACGATCTGCCCTGCCCCAACGGCCCAGAGCTGTACGGCAGGTCCACGCATTGCAACTGGGTGGAGCCCTTCGACGACCGGGTGAGGGAGAAATGCCCCCAGGCCGCTGGCTTGGACGACATGGTGCTTCAGAGCGGCCTCTTCGCAATGTGCGCGGCTCACGAGAGGCCCTTCTGCTACGCTCACACCGACAGCATCCGCTGATGCGCGTTTTGTAGTTGACCACTGCCGGTCCTCTTGCTGCTGGATCCGGAGGGCGCGTGCCGGCCTTGGGTGATTGACCGCCAGCATCGTGTGTAGAGTGGTTTCCATGTTGAAACGGCGCGGGCTCACCGTCCTCCCACTCCTGCTCCTCTTTCAAGCAGTGGCGAAGCGTCCTGGCGTGCCTGTGGTCCTACCAACCAATGTTCTAAGAACCTTTTGTGGTTCACACGAAATGTTCTTAGAACATCTCTGGTTGGGGCTGTCTTGTTTCATCTCATCGGGTTCATGTTCTCAGAACATTGTTTTTGTGATTCGAACATAATTTGGTTTTCAATTTGGTTTTTGTGATTCAAACATAATTTGTCTGATAGGACTACAGGAATGCCAGGCCGGTCGTTCCCCGCTCAACTCTTCCCACCCGCGCAGCCGAGGCCACCGCTGCTGGTTGGCATGGCGGCGCTGGGCTTCCAGTACACGTCCACCATCTACACCTGGGCAGGCCCTCGGCCAAGGGAGGGAGGGGGGAGGGGGGAGGCGGAGAGGGAGGGGGGAGCGGAGGCAAAGAGGAAGAGGGAGGGGAGGCGGAGAGCTGCGGAAGTCGATTCATGGAGAGGAAGCGTGCTGCCACATAATTTCCTGATGTCCCAAACATGTTTCAAACAGGTTATAAATATGTTAAGAACACATGCTTGCACCATGTTTAGAACATGTTTGTTTTACACATGTTGAACACACGTTCAATTCGATGATCGGATTGTTAGAGTGTCCATTGTCATGGCATCCACAAGTGGAGAGGGAGGGAGGAGGGCGAGAAGAGGAGACGAAGACGCGGGGACTCTCTTCAAAACGAAGGCCCACCACCACGTAATTGTTGGAAGCAAGCATGCCAGCGGGGATGAAGTTGACCTTCAGTGCCCGAGCACACATGAACCATGCCAGCTGGAAAGGCAAAGCACATGTGTTGCACGGCTAAGCGTACGGATGGCCGGCACATCTTGTAACCATCATGCCATTGAAATTTCATCCGCCCAGCTGGAAAAGACAGATGTGCAATATATCCTGCAGCCAAACTCCCCCGGCGCCGGTGGCTGCGTTCGCATGCCGCCACCCCCCTCACATTGGCACGCCCATCACACGTTTCGTGGCCCCTTGGGGAGCTCCACCGAGGGCGCCTGTGGCTGCGTTGGCACGCCGCCACTCCTGCCACTTGGGCTCAAGTTGCAAGGCTCCAGTCGTGGCAGCGACAGGACCAGTGGCAGCAGCAGGCGCGAGGATGCTGTGGACGCCTGTGGGTGGCTTGTGGTCGGTTCCGAGCACACCCGAACGGCGTGAGGGTTTACGATTAAGTCGGGCTTGTCCCTCTACAGGAGGAATATCCCAAAATAGGTAAAGATATTATGGGGACGATTTTTCGAGTTGTTTTGCTACTTTGGAATATGTTTGGTGTATTTTTTATTTTTCGCCCAAAATCGGCCTGTAGGGGGACATGCCCTACCTAAGTTTACGAGACGGAGAGCAACAAACATGTGTTTGCGCTCGAGGAGAGGTTTGCGAACCTTGGAACCGAATGTGGGGATGGCGATGCAGGTGCTGTCATCGAGGGGGTGAAGTGGGCGGTTTCCCCAGACGATGCGGAGTATCGGGTGACACGGCAGCTCAAGCACATCGAGGCGCCAGTGCCAGTTGAAACGCACGTCAATGGAGATTTCGCAGGCCAGTTGTTCGCGAATTTTGCATCCAAGTCTGAACGTGAAATTGTCGTGTCCAGAGTTCGTAGTGCAAAGTTCGAGTGGCAAGGAGAGACGTTGTGGGCCAAGCCGGATTTGCCGCTCAAGGTGCGCATTCTTGATTCGATGATCTTTGTCTCGAAGCGCTACCTTGTCAAATGGGTCTACGACAGGGCAGCCCTGTGGGCAGACCCTTATACAGGCACCCTCAAGCTAGCCGGAAACGTGGTGATGAAGGTAAGCATCGGGAACGACGACGTCCGTACCGTTTCCGAGCCAAGCTGGGAGGAGCAGTTCCAGGAGTAGGAGTGGCTTTCATTTTGTATCTATATGTATGTAAGCAAACAAAGCAATTCCAGGGAGAAGCTCCAGCGCAGCTGCAGCAAGGAGTCGGGCAACGTCGAACCGGGACAGTAGGTGTCCCCCCGTGTGGCTACGTGCTTCCACACATCGTCTTGGACATACTTCGCACACAGTTTTCAGTTTTTTTTTTGCGGAGATGCAAGAACCAATTCTCCGATGCCGTTGTTGAACTTGCTTGCAGAGTTGAACGCCGTATCCTGGGACATCATTGGCTTCAGTGAGACACGGGCTGCTGGTACCGATGATATTTTGATTGGAGGGCACCGTTCAATATCGAGCACTGGCAAATTTTTGAAGCTTCTCGGTGCAGCTGTTCTTCTCCGCGCACGCCTTGCCGACGCATTGACACAGGTTTGGATGCTTTCTAGTAGGCGCACATTGGTAGACGTTGATGACCACAATGGACAGCACGTCAATGATTTGCGTGTGTGCTCCGCACGTGTGCTACGCCAGGGCAGAGTTAGGATGGATTCGATCGTAGGCTGCGAACTTAGATGGCGGCACCGACGCGGCAGAAACGGCACGTTTTTTTGCATGCCGTTGTGCACTGTGGCGATCGTGAGGATATCTTCCCCGGGTTTGTATCGGAGCACGGCCTGCTCGTGGCAAATGGTGACGGCATGGAAAACACATGCGGTCCCAATCGCAAGATCGATGACATGTTTTGGTCACCTTCGCTGCAGTTGCCTGGCTCGGCAGCCACGATCGAGATCGATTGTGGATATTATCGTCGTGTTGTCTACCCTTCTTTTCTCATGCCTCGTGCAGCCGGCAATGTGGGGAGACGAGGTCGCAGGCAAAATGAGTGGGTTCTCCGACATACGAGCAAAAATTGGAATCGTTGTTGGGAGATGCTGGGGATTATCGGGGACTTTTTCTGGCACGAACTGCTGTTGCGGGCCATTGTGGCTTTCTCTTTCGCAGTTCGCGGGATCTCAACCTGCAGTCTTTCATTTCCGCTCCTTGGGAGCTACTCGCTTACCACGACTCAGTCTGTGCGATGGCAGGAGGAGGTGCTGGCGGGCATGGGCGCATTTCTTGGGCTCCGTGGCACCGCTCGTGGGCATCGCCTTCGTCGGCCGCTAAGCGTGACCAAGTGTGGCCCCCTCTGGTCCCTGGCCCACAAGGTTCTTCTCCTGGTGGTGCTGGCCATCATGGTCACATGTCCGCGTCCAAGATATGGACGTGCAGTATCTGCGGTTGCAAGAAGAATGAGGCCAGGTTCTTCTTTTGCAAGCACTGCGGTCAGCTCAAGCGCGACTCCGTCCAGTATGGTTCGGCCTGGTCGTCAGGCAAAGCTCTTGCCATGTTTGGTGACGGCCCCAGCTCCTCTGGGAAGAGTGGCGAGAAGGGCGTTTCTGGCTCAGGCAAAGGAGTTGCTGGCGCCCCGCCTGCTGCTGGCGCTCCGAAGCTCTCTGCGGACGAATACCTGCAGCTGGCATCCCTGCACGACAAGATGGGCGACTCTCGGGCAGCAGCTGCGCACCGCACCGCGGCTGCGGCTCTGTCGGCGCCCGCCCCAGCATCGGTCTCGGCGCAGGCCCCTCTCAACAAGGCTCACCAGAAGGCCCGAGCCATCGAGAAGAAGCTGGAGAGCGCCGTCAGCAAGTTCGAGATGCTGGAGGCCCAGCTCGCGGCGCAGAGGAACCAAGTTCTGGTCCTGCGCAGCGACCTGGAGCAGGCCGAAGGCGAACACGGTGAGCTCGTTCGGCGCCTTCATGACGAGCTGCCGAGCACAGGCCCTCCGTCGGACACGGCCTCGGGCACGAAGCTCTGATTGGAGGATCTTCTGGACGAGAAGCGCTTCTCTCAGATGTTTGACCTCGATGTTGGAGATTGCTTCACGATCACCGACGACGAGCAGCTCTCTCTTGACGAGGCCAAGCAGTTGGCAGATCGTTTGGACCTCTTCAAGACTGGCATCACGGACATGGCACGCTCCCTGTTCGCTGAGGCCAAAGCTAAAGTGGATTCGTTGCGGGAGGACACACAAGCAGTTGTCTCAGCGTATTGCCAAGAAGCGTAAGACGGATGGTGGTGCTGTCGTCGACGGAGCTGGAGTTCCAGTTGAACAGGCACCCCTTCCAGCAGGTGCTGGCAAGGATGAGTCTCCAGCGACTGGCACCAACGGTGGAGACCGCCATGAGGCAGGACCTGCTTCTGCTGGCGCTGCCTCGGAGCAAGCTGCGACGGGCTCGGCGTCTCCTACCGCGCCGTCAGCACCGGGCGCGTGCTGACAGGATTGCTGGAGCTGCCTCTGCTTGGGCCCCTCCTGGAGCCCGCGAGTTTTGAGTTTTCTCTGAGCCATGGGATCTCGGGCTTCGGGCCTCGGGGATCCTGGCTGCTCGGGACGGCCTGGTTGGCTGTGAGCTCGGACAACGATAAACTCCAGGGGGCAGTGTTTCTTCGTTGAATTTTGGCCGCACTGCGGCTCAGGTTGCTCTATGGTGCAAGCGAGGCCTTCCTCTGGTTTTCGCTTCCTCCTCTGTTGATTCGTTCACCCAGAGGTTGAAATCATTTCAGAAGGTCCCACCGTCAGCCCGATGGCGTGACCTCATGACTCGTGCGGATTCAGCAGTTTTGAAGGCTGCCGACCACCCGTGTCTCTCATTTGTTCGTAAGAGCCAGGCTCCTGTGAATTTCGCTTGTCCAGCGGATGAGTATCCTGTGCTCTCTCTCTCTGGACAGGGATGTTCCCTGTCGTACCACTCTGGTCAGGCTGCCTTTGCCCGAGCCCACGGAGGTTCGGCGAGGCGCGGGCTCTGGCAGGCCAGACCCTGTGTCAGGGAGTCTGGGTTCTTGCAGCCATGATCTTGGGACTCCTGGGTCGTTGGTGGACCAGGAGACTCGACGTGGTCTGCAGTCGCCACCTTTGACTCGAAGCGCTCGGTTTTTGGTCTCAGGACGTGCAAGCACTGGTCTAGACGGCCTACGCTTCCCCACTGAAGGAGCTCGGTCTCCCCAGGTCAGTGGTGATGCTGCGGATGCCCAGCTCGATTCCGTCTCGCTCAGGGTTCAGACCATCAATTGCAACT